CTTGGCCAGAGAAGACTCATCAGAGGGAGGGAGGGTGAACATGGTGCTTTCTGGGATTTCACAGGCCTGTTTTGAGAGAATGAAGTTCAGTAAAAACAAACAACAAGAAACGACCAGAGAGGAAAGGAACATCAGGGGAAAAGAGATAAAAACCAGAAAAGGAAAGAAATACCAGAAAGTAAACATCAGGAAAACATCTTAGCACGAAGAGGAGACCAACAAAAAGACACCGGCAAACAGAACTAGAAAAGTAAGACAAAGATGCAAATAATTCTAGTAACAGATCGACCGTAAACCTCCATGTTTTTTACTCCTCCCTTGTCCCACTGAGCTCTGCATGAATAGCAGAGACCTGCTGGGTCCTGGAGGCTGCAGGAACGACCAGCAGCAGCCAGAGCCCTTCCTAAACCCATCTTTACTTATTTTAAGATTTCTTCTTCATAGAAAGGTTTTTCAGGCAATTAGAGGCAAAAGCCGAGCCTCGCCACCAGCCCAGAAGATCTGAAGGCTTTCTGAATGACATCACAACACAGCTCCTCTCTCTGGAACCGGCAGCAGATGAAAGCAAGAGGCTGAAAGCTGCGTCCAATTCTGGGTGTTTGTCTAACGTCCCTGAGAGGAGCCACTGGGGGCTGATGGAAAACGTGTGTGTGTGTGTGTTTCTATGTGAGTGTGTGTGTGTGTGTGTGCGTGCGTGTGCAGTTGCGCTGGAGTGTATGAGTGTATACGTGAAAAGAGAACACGCTGCACATGTAAAGGAGAGACGTGCAGGTGCTGGATCGTCCTACAGACTCCGTATGTTCTGGTGTTTCATGTGTGGAACTGGAGGTTGGAACTTCATGTTTCTGGAGTAAGGGGGGTTTGATTTCTGGTACTGGACCTGATCATGGCGTCCCAGAGCATGGTGAGTCAGCAGAGGTCGGTAGTGCATGCTGTAAGGAGTGTTGTTGACCAGAATGGTTCTGTCCTCGATCTGCAGGATCTGGATGCCGTGCCTCACCACTGATGACACACAGAACTGGCACAGCTGCACAAGAAACACACAACATAGTAACTAGATTCATTACTACGACTTTATGGTCATCTCCTGCCAAAAGGCAAGAAGCAGGACATCAGGATGGATTCTAATACAACATGTCTGTTCTTCAGTCACGTTTGTATCTATCTATCTGACCACACCTTAGAGGTCACATGAGATAATCCCCAATCAAACAGTAGATGTTTTAGTTCATAACGGCTGAGTGAACTTCCTGTAAGGAACGCTTGGCCTATCATTCCGTCCTGGTACATTTTAATGGGGAGAGCTGTTTGAACTAGAAGTGGTCTGGCTGTCCAAAGTGCTGGTGAAGAACAACCCACCATCAGTAAACTCACCAGACCACCACCGCTCTGAACACACAGCAGCTTGGTTTCCTACATAAAGAACCTCATTCAGAGAGCAGGACTGACTGCTTTCCTCACCTTCTGTTTCCCAGGAAAGGCTCCTAAGGTGACATCCACCTCCACGTATCCCTCCTCATCCAGAGTCAGCACCACTGAGTTTGACCCCTCCTTCCACCGAGGAGATGTCAGGTCGTGAACTAGCTTCAGAGCTGTGGACTTGTGGACGGTGTTGGTGTGGGCCCAGTAGATACCGATCTGGAAGGCTTCCTAGATTACATGAAAGGAGGAGGAGGTGAAGCTTAACTCCTGACTGAATGGCAGTTTAAACTCGACCTCTATGATCTCAGTGGGTTATAATGATCACATGTAACGCTGTAATGGTTGCCTGAGTCATTGGGCCCTGCTGCACCATTACACAAGCCAATCACATCTCCTGCTACCAGTTTTTACCAACATGGTGAGTTTGTTTGAAGGTGGAATATGGAACACGAACACCACAGTGACATCTAGTGTGTGGAGGTTGTAACTGCAACAAAATAACAAGGTTTCCAGTCGTTGGGATGCCAGGTTTGCTGCAGATACGTGAAATGTTTTATTTGGGTCCATCTGCTGTCGGCTTCACCTAAACACTCTGGTTTTAGATCTCCTATGGCTGCTCTTCCTCTCAGAAGGATGACCACATCTGCGCTCAGAAGAAGCTGCTTGACTTGCCTCAGAGCAAGCCTCGCTGTGCCGAGTGGACTGTTGGTGCCCTCTACTGACTGCTAGATGTAAACGTACACCCAGTGTCACAAATAACACACACCTGGAGAAGTTATGCTGTGTGGTGGAGTTGCTAAGGCTAACTGCAACTAATGCTAATGGTTAGCTTCTACTAGCCCAGACGTTGTTTCCTAGACACAAAACCCACAACAGCTTTCCCCGTCGTGAGTCCAGATGGGTGAGTCCATGAATGTTAGTGACAGTGTGATGTAGATCTGTCAGGCTTTTCTAATCCTGGAGTTTCACCGTCTGTTTTCTATCAGAAGCTACTGCAGGAGGTAGGTGTAGGAGACTATTTTCATGTCCAGCCTGCATGAAACACTCAGTGACCCGTTAGAATCAGAGATAATAAGTAAAACAGGTAATTCAGTGTTCCACATCAAACCAGATATCACCGAAGGTGTGTGGAGGAGAGAAAACCCACAATAAACTCAAACTTGTGGCAGTGAAGCTTAAGGGGAGTCTAAGTAAACGTCTACCTGCATCACATTACCTTGAAGTTGGGAGGGACGACGACTTTGCCAGCAGGTATCTGCAGAATGATTTTCTCTCCTTCAAAAAGCCAGAGGTCCCACTGGGAGTTGTTGGCCAGAAGCGCCCAGGGCAGGAGCTCCACCAGCAGCGTGTTCAAACCAGACTTCCAGCGGGACAGCTTCACCTGCATGGGACTGTCCCACTGGTTCAGAGGCTCCAGCACTGACCTGGGTGTAGAAAATCCCTTTAGTAGCACCAGAGGAGGGGTTATTTTCTTTATATTTATGTTTGGCAGAAGCCGTTTACATCGGGAGGAACACGCCAGAGCAGATATGGGTCACAAGTGCAAGCACAGAGGGAAGGGCAGGCTTGATGCTCTGTGAAGAGCTGGCTCATCTACACAGACAGGGACTCATGTTCTGGTAGCTCAGTAGCTCATTCCACCATCATGGAAGGGAGCTTTTAGCAAAAGGAAGTCCTGAATACTGAATGATCAACTATTATTGGCTACGCGTTTACTACTAATTCACCTGGTAGCTGAGCCCAAACCCACTCAGAGGCCCAGCAGATCACCCAGAATCATGCACATGAAACCATAATCAAGGTTTGACTCAAGAGGAAGATTGGTATTGATATTCGAGGAATGACGGGCCTTTATTTCTGGTTCCACTGGTGCAGAAAACCCAAAACAGTGCAACAGATACCTGCAGGGCCGTGTTCAGCCTGCGGTGTGTTAGCACTACATTCATATTAAAACTGTGGAAGTTGCCAAGCAACACATGTAGCAGAATTAAATCCATGCAGAAACGTAGCAGCGCTGCTGTAGAGCAGAAGTACGGGGTTTCAAAAACCAATAAAACGTGTATGAAGAGCTTTTATAGTGACAGATCATCAACACGATGACAACGATCACACAGACTAAACAAACATGGAGAGAGAGACGGCCTGTCAACAAGTTACACAACACAAACCCGTTCAGAGGTCCACACGGCATCTGGGATCACACGCTGGCACACTGAGACACCAACAAACACACCATCCTTCTTCCACCAACTCACTCACACAGCAGGCCTCTCAAAGCAGCCGTGGTCTCATGGGCTCCAAACAGAGCTGGAGGCCAGAGCAGAGCCAAACAAACATTTTCCCACATTTTCTCTCCAGTTCAAAGCCTCAAACACGACCTGCTCTTCCCTTTCCCACAAGGCCACCTGGACTTGGATCAAGCCACCAACCTGCCAAGTCAAACTTGTCACACACCCCGACTGGGAACAGCTTTCCATCACTGTGTACTGGTGTGTGTGTGTGTGTGTGTGGTTAAACAGGAGGTTGACCTGGAGGCTGAGGACAGCGAGGATCATAAATCAGATTACACAGCTCACAGGAAGGTAATGTGCTCACTGGCTTCTGTAAAAGTTTCAGGGTTTTATTCATGGAAATACTCCAATAACTACAAGATGTTTGTTTAATGATGGCGGAGGCGACCCGCTGCCATTAAAAACCAGCAGAGAGGGAAAATAACATTTAATACTTCCAGCTTCCTAAAGACGCAACCATCCCCCTCAGCTGGTTTCTCAGCTGTTCGACCGAGGCGCTCCTTACGAACACCATCGGGGAAAACGACATGAAAGAAAAATGCACAGATGAATACGCTGCTCCTGCCCGCCCCCTCAGCTCTCACTTCTGTTCTGCGTTTAAAGATGGAGATAATTCACTTTTAGTTTTTCTGGAAGCTCCTCCAGAGTGCAGGATCCTGGGTTTGAGAGTGTGACATTTACAGTTGACCTGTGTGTGTGTGTGTGTTCAGCATTTAGAATGGAACAGTCAGACACAAGGCTCACATATCCAGCAGGACTCTGTGGTTGGCTCTTCCACTGCTGCCATCCAGATGTGACTGGTTTGTGATAAAAGACGAGTCCCAGAGTGACATGTGCAGACAGTTTCACACGAGTCTTTTCCCCGCCGTCATCCCTGAGCCACGTACGCTGTAGTGCAGAGCTGTGTGTGAAACTGGGACTGAGCGCTCGAACTGCTGGGGACTACGGCTCCGGTCTGATGCGTGGCTCTGAGCCGGGTTCAAACTTTTATTATGTGAACAAAGACGAAAAGCTTTCTCATTAAAGGAGTCCTTGCACAATGTTGGAGGAGGAACGCAGCAAGAATCTTACAACAGAAAACTAAAAACAATGGTGGAGGGTCTTGTTATGAAATGTGAGATTTAATGCTTGCTGTGGCAGAGCTCTAATAAAACCATAAAGAATTATAGATGTTGACTCAGTTGGGTTATGAGGTGTCATGGTGCCTTGAAGTGACAAACGTGCAGGATGAGTGTGAATCTGGCTTAAAGCTAACATCATGAAGCCCGGAGCTCTGCAGGCAGCTGCTGCAGGATGCCAGCTGGGACGGGAGCCGATCTCCACAGGGTCAGGCTGCTTGAACTCTTCTCTTAGAGCGAATCAGAAGGTGAGCTGTTTGGGTTGAAGGCCAAATTTCAAAGGAGCCGACACAGTAACGTTCAACAACGTTCATCTAATGAAATGAGTGCCGTTCTGGCTGCTCTCGTGACTGCCTGTACCTGTTTTTGTCTACATGTGTGTGTGTTTAACCTTGGTCAGGTTGCGTTTGCGGAGTCAAGTTCCTATGCTCTGGGTCACTGGAGCGCTGGCAATAAAGCTTATTCTGATTCTGATTCTGAAGAAATTTGTGAAGGTTGAGCGGTTTGTGGGTTTGTGTCGGTTGTGCGTCACCTGGACATCTGATAAACAAGTCACAAACCTGTTTTAGGTAATTAAATGGTGCGATTCCAACAATCTTGTCTCTTTAAAGAGCCACCAGTGGGACTCGGCCTTCTGGTCATGTTAAAGATGAGTGGCTCTCGTCACACCATGGTGAAACGACTTCTTCACATTTGACCTGTGGGGAGAGGTGGGCTGCAGCAGTGGCTGCCCCGCCCCGCCCCGCCCCACCCTGTCCCAATCCAATCCAGGTGAAATCAAAAGGTTTGAGTTGTTTTTACAGTACTGCTACAACTACATCCCATGAGAACATCACTCAGCTCAGATGTAATGTACCTGTCTGTGTCTTTGGTCACGTACGGCCACGGGGGCTCCGAGGAGGCCCTGGGACCGTAGAAATCAGTCAGGATGTGCTCCGGGTTTTCCTCATTTCCACTCTTATTCACTATCTGCTTGATTAGGCTGGTGGAGATGGGAACAGCGCAGTGAGAAGCATCTTCATCCTCCCTGAGGGAAAACAGCACAAACACAATCAGCACAGAGAGACACTTGATCTGCTGCTTTCTCTGGTTGAAGCCACTCATGCAATCAGAGCGGATTCCTGCTGCCTAAGCATTTAATCTGACGGTCCAGATTAGGAGCACGTTTACTTAGATTACAGCAGAGAAAATCCACTCTTTTATTGGACTATAAAACAAGACATCTCTGGACGGCAGCTAACTGTTTCCAGCTAACTGTTCTCTTCAGTCAACTGAAGCGACCTGGGCTGAGCTCCACGTTTACCCCGAGACCTTGAAGTGGGTTGAATCTGTCTTCGGTTAGGGGTTTCACTTCATGGCTGCAGTCCTGTCTTACAAACACTAACTCAGAAAGATCAGAGAGAGAGCTAAATGGGAGTAAATAATCCTATTGGACAGCCTCAGCCCCGGTCGCTGCTACAAGACCTAAAAAAGAGGCGAAATCCAAACGGTGAAATAGCAGCTAGAATGTCGCTGGGCAGCATCCAGCTCCACTTGGCTAAAGCGCAGCATTCCCCATAACCCTGTGCAGCCGTTTGTTAACAGAGCCCATTGTGCTATAAAGGGAACACGGGGGTTGTAGCTCGTAGGTCTGCGGCAGGGCCGAGGAGAGAGACAAGGTGTTGACAGGAAGCTTTTCATCCAGAGTCGTCCCTGAGGGGGAAACTGGAAGGGCTCCTGACGGTAACCCTCCATTGTCTAATGTGGTGGCCAGGATGAGAACATAACAGATCTGGTTAAAGCTGGTCTGAGTGTCTGGTGTCGCAGACCGCAGTTCTGTCCTCTACCTCGTCCATTAAAGTCCACAAGTATGTGTAATTACAGGAAGGAAAGACGAGCCGGTGACCAGCGAACATTCAGGCTTGGATCCATCCGAGAGCTCTGTACATGTGTGCATGTTTACAGTTGTGGCTTGCAGAGTGTGTTTGTGAGGATGGAGAGGGATGAGCGATGGATGGAGTCGGGAGGGGGGTCACAGCAGGGACCAAAAGGCAAGTCTGAGTGGTTTGAAGCAGTTTAGACGGGGGGTGGAGTGTAAACACACGAGAGCGTTGTGGTTGCAAGACAAGACGCTCACTTGTTTCTGAGCTCATTTTTCAGCACGCATGAAAAGGATTTTAGTAAAACAACAGTGGCCAAATACGTTCCCAGTCACTGGACGGCCACTTTGGTTCCTTCACTGTAGCCGAAGTCAAAACAAACGTTGTCACCAGATATCTAAATACAACAGTTACGGGGAAAAACAATCCCACACAGCGCTTTATTTAGACTTCATCAGTTCTCCCTAAGAAGCTGCACTAGATCACAGAGGCAGCAGAAACGACAACAGCACCAAGCTGTCAGCAGGTGTGATTCACCACAACACCTGGAGACCACCGCGCTTTAAAACGCTGGTGTCACATCAACTATTCTCAGGTGATTCTGTTCAGACAGGTTTTAATAAAGCCAGGGCTCTCACACACCTTAGGGGTGGGCGTGGCCAACCACTGGGTAGCTGGGTCGGCCACACCCACAGGGAGAGACGGGCCACACCGCTGAATCGGGTGAGAAAACCTGAGGTGAATGAATGAAATGAGGATTTCTGATGGGTCTTTACTTTACGACCAGATAAAAACACACCAGAACGTGTGATGAAGAAAGATGGATGCTTTTGGATATTATGGGGTCGTTTGATCCCGTTTCATCCTGATCACAGAGGATACGGCTGCAAAAGTCACACACCATCTCTTAGTTAACCAACACAACGGCCACACACAGACACACACACACAGCTGCTCTCTGTTATGGCCCATATCTAAAGGAGGTCCAGCCTGACATGCTGCAGCCAGCACAGCTTACTGCTCCTCTGAAATGTGCATGGATTCCCTTGGACGGTGCCTTCATTACCGGCTCACAGAGCCAGAATGTGCTGGGAGGAGATCTTTCTTTCTTCAGTAGAATGTAAGCAGTCCAAACCCCGTCTAGAGCTAGCTGCTTTAGTACAAGCCGAGTTTGTCTGGCTGGCACCGAGGACGGAGGCAGAAGAGAGGACTGTTTGATCAGAGGGCAGTGTGCCGACTGCTGCTGGTCAGGACGGTGGTTCTTTTCACCTTGTTCAAAAACCGAGAGGACATCAAAGAGGTTTAACATTCCTTTAAGGATCTCTTAGGTACGCCACGACCACACTCATCATGAGGACTCTTATCATAGGCAACGTCTTTTAGAAACCCTAAAACTTTTTTCACTGACCGGGCCTGAAAGGTGAGATGGTGGGTGAGGTTGGCCTCGGTGTTTAAAAGCGGTGCCTGGTGGCCACGTCCATGGATCAGCTGGCTTTCGCTCAGGCCTAGACTCCTTTTCTCTACATGGACGATGAGCGGGTCCGGCAGGTGGCTCCGCATAACGAACAGTGGGCTGAAGACCACCTGCAACAGGACAGAGGGACAATAGGAGCATCACAACAACCCCACACAAGGATGTAATAGTTCTGATCCATATGAACGTTAGTCAAGATTCTCCATCTTCATTCAAACGTCCAAACTTCAGGTCAAAGGTCAAAAACTGCTTCAGATACATTATTCCTTTTATTAGATTAGCCTCAAACTTAAAACCAAAGAAATTGTGTGTGTGCGTGCATGCGTGTGTGTGTGTGTGTGTGTGTGTGTGTGTGTGTGTGTGTGTGCGTGTGTGTGTGTGTGTGTTTGTGTGTGTGTGTGCTATGCCACTCACCACTCTTTGCTGCATGTGAGATTCTGGTTCAACAGTGATGAGAGAACACCAGACATAAAGCAGAGACCCAGAGGAACAGGCCACCTGAAGGAAGACAAGTGAACAGGTCATTTAACCACTGAACCAGGATCAGGTCGTGTCCCGGGAGAACTCCAGCGTTTTTCAGCAGGATGCAAAAGTTTGTTCAAACCGCTGGTAGTTACGATTAAAAATGTCAGTTAGAATATCATCCAGGAGAGAAGTGAAACAAGGTTATGGGATTTACAGGAAGTGTGCAACAGCTATTTACACAGGATGAGGCAGGGGCATACATTTTATTGAATCCAAAACCTTTAGAACCAATTATTGGAACTCTAAATGGCTTTGGTGAGCTCAGTGACCCTTGACCTCCATACACAGGTGAATCCACTCATTTAAGGAGCCAGTTGTAAGTTTCCCTCCTCTGTGTATATTCTCTGAAGAGCAGCAACATGGGGTCTGAAACAACTCTCACATGAGCTGAAAACAAAGATTGTTCTCCATCATGGTTTAGGGGACACCGAAAGCTGTCTCAGAGATCTCAGCTTCTGTTTCCACCGTTAGGAACATAGCGAGGAAGTGGAAGACAACAAGCTCAGTTCAAGTTTAAGCTCCAAGTGGCAGACCAAGAAACATCTGGGATAAACAGAAGAGAAGAACGGTGAGAACAGTCAGAGACACCCACAGACCAGCACCTGAGACCTACAGCATGATCTTGCTGCAGATGGAGTCACTGTGCATCGTTCAACTACTCAGCACACTTTACACAAGGAGGTGCTGTATGAGAGAGGGATGCAGAGGAAGCCTTTTCTCCACCCACAGCTCAAAAAGAGCTGCTGGAGGTCTGCTAAAGCACATCTGGATGAGCCAGCTTCATTCTGGAATAAGGTGCTGTGGACTGATGAACGGAGAATCAGCTCCTCTAAATCCGAGACCATGGTCTTGAGTCGGAAAAGGGTAGAATGCATTCTCCAGGTCAGGGATGAGGTCCTGCCTCAAGTGGAGGAGTTTGAGTATTTTGGGGTCTCGGACTGGCCCAAGTAGCTGGGATGAGGGAAGTCTGGGCATCTTGGCTTAGGCTGCGGCCCCGCGACCCGACTCCGAATAAGTGGCTGAAAATGGATGAATGGGCTGATAAACCTAAAATTGAGTTATTTGGGCATAACAAGGGCGTTATGCATGATGGGAAAAGAACACAGCATTCCAAGATAAACATTAAAACATGGTGGTGGGCCCATCATGCTGTGGGTTGTGTGGCCAGTGCAGGGATTGGGAATCTTGTTAAAGCTGAGGGACGCATGGATTCCACTCAATATCAGCAGATTGTGGAGACCAATGTCCAGGAATGAGTGATGTAATGTCCAGCAATGGTCAGTTTTAGGTACAGTTTGACCATTCAACATCAATTCAACATCTGGTCAAAAAGGAGACACGAGACTGCATGTGTTCCCTTTAAATTGGCCTGCCTTCATCCCATCAGCTCAGAGCCTGCAGCTCTGAACACAGATAACGAAATGTCAACAATAACATTCTCTCCTCAAGGTCCAATCTTTCAGGTTTTCATGCCTCCATATAAGGAACACTCGCAGCCCGGATTAGTTGCTAAGTCAAAGAATGATTTCTTAAATTAAATATGAACTTCTACAACTTATAAGCTAGATAATAATTAAATAAATTGTTTGTTTATTACTACTTATAATAATTATAATATAATGAAATGTTTCATTAATTTGTGCTCAGTGATTGAAGTTTGAAAGGAATGTTATGTTATGATTACAGTGATTGAAATATGTTTCAGCATGTTGATATGACAAGGTCATCACCATTTGCACTCACACAAGGACAAAGTAAAGTTAAGTTAAACTCATGACACATAGATAGCCCTTTACCCAGATCAGAGCTTCCGGATCAAAGAAGGCGTCTTTCTGAGATTCTTGGTAATATTCCTCAAACTTGTCAACCTCTGGTTGGCTACACAAATCATAACATGAGAACATCAAAACCGGATCACTCTCGGGTGATCTCTCAGTTCTAGAGAAAGCTTCTGACCGGCCATCTGAAGCAAAACCCTCTTTAACCATCAAAGTTTTTGACACGTCATCAAAACCTTTTTGCACCTGCGAAGCTGATACTGCAACAGTTCCTGCAGAACAAGCTGATATTGTTTAGACTCCTTCAGAGTCCCAGACGCGCAGTTCCATCCGACTGTTGTGACCTGGAGACATCTCTAAGACCGGTTTAGTGGGGCCGCAGTTTCTTCTACGGACCTCGGTGCCTGGAAGTCCGAGGACTTCGACATTCCGGATCCACCAAGAGGGTCTCCGAGAATGGGTGAAGTAGACACACAGATAGCGTCTGATGTGTTTTGATAATAATCAACTTCATAGCTTAACGCAAACCAAATTATTTTACACCCAGAACTCAGCTCTCCTAGATAAGGAAGTTCTGACTAACAGGGCATTCACACATTGGTTCATACATCACCTTTAGTTCCATCCATCACAGTAAAATGTTAGTTAACTTGTCATGTTTTAATTGTTTGTAAAATAAATTCTTACTTTCATAAACCTGACTCTTTTCTGAATCAAAACGTTGTGTGTACAATCTTCTGATGAACACAGTAAAGACCAAGCAGGGTTGATATTCTATATTTAGATAGAGTATCACAGCTTATTGGTCGTAAGTAGAGGTAATATTGAGCTCTTAAACCACTCAATTTACCAAACCCTACAGTCACAAAGCTGTAGCTGCACCAGGGCTGGACCTTTCAACAAGACGACCCTAAACACTGCTCAACATCTACTCAGGCCTTCATGCAGAAGAACATGAGGCTGTTATTTCTGCAAAAGGAGGATCTACTAAATATTGAGTTCATTTCTGTTTTGTGGAGCCCAAACTTGTCTTTTTTCATGATGCAGGATTGGACGCCTAAGCTGTCTCTGTGCTCTAAGTATGAAATGATCATTTTTGTCCTAAAATCATTGTTTCTTGGCTCCTTTAAGCAGCAAAACTCCCCGGTGCAACATTATGGCCGTGGCGACTGAGAGCCTTGAGAGCCAGACCATGTGGTATTACAGGCAGTAAATTCACAGCGAGATCTAAAAGCTGAGAATGTGCCCACCGAAGACTGAGCTCTCCTAACATGTCAGTGGTGTTTGTCCCAGTTGGTCCTCGCTCCTCATTAAGGCACAAAGGAGCCAAAACACATTATGGAGTAGAGTTTATGACAGACGGGGGACTTCCTTTACTGCTGGGGACAGCAGAGTTACTAGTCCGTCCTGATTTATGGGCTTTGTTGGGATGAGGGGAAGTAGATTTGGCAAAAGGATTGCATAAAGGCCTGATCCAGTGAAAAACACTTGCAAATAAGGTCATGACAACCTCCTGAGCTTTGTTCATAGTACAGGAACATGGAAAAAGATTACACGTGAAGCAGGAGTTTAGGGGAGGGAGATAAGGGAGAGGAGTTCCTTCAGATGGATCACTGATACAGAAGAAGACGAGGAAAGAAGGAGTTTCTGGGTGGGACGGCTGGACAGACTTGATGCCATGAGGGGTAATGGGTGGGGGGATAAAAGATAAATGAGTGGGCTGAAGTAAAAAAGGGAGGAAACAACAAAGTGAAGTGACAGGAAACAAGACCCAGACAGAGATGTGAGGAAGCAGCTACTAGTCCAGGCAGCTCTGTACTCCTCATGTGTCATGAATGACTAACCTAACAAGAAGATAACAGCAGACAGCGCAGCTAAGTATGAGATGATCAAACCCACATTTGGAGGCTAATAAAGAAATGAGAGAGGAACAACTAGGAGCAAGGCTAGAGCTGGCTCTGATCCAGCAGTGTGAAAGTGCCTTCAAAGCCTTTCCCTGTGCCCACATACCAGCCAGTGTTTCCTGTTTATGGTTAGTGTTGTTATGAGAGAGCATAAGCGGTTCTCTACCTCTCAACAGGCTCAGGTTGAGGGTTGGAGGGCTTTGTAAGCCTATCTAAGTGGAAGATCTCAGTCTGTTTCCTAACAGCGACAAGCAGAACGGAAGCTCGGCAACCGTGGCCACCCAGAAGAGGAGGATCCGGTCACATTTGGTGGTCCAGTCACCAGCTCCAGACGTGTAGGGATGGAGAGCTAGGGCTGGTGTGAGCATCTTTCCTGTCTGGCTTCCACATTTATCAGCTGCCTTTCATCTGCGTCTCTATCAAACGCATCCTAGAGCTAGGGCCGCTGCCCCTCTCCTGTCTGACCTCTACAGCTAACCCCAACCCTATGCAGAAGATATGAAGGCCTACAGAGAGTAGATAATCTGGTTATTACAGAACCTAATCTGGGCGGTGATGGGCCTGTGTGTGCTGTGGGAGTAGAGTGTGATGACGTAAGACCTCAAGCCATCAAGTCAGTAGAAAAAAACTGTAAAACCTGAACTGGGATTAACCATAAAAGTCATGTTAAGTCCCCCTTCCTGTGACCTGTTTAAACTCTGAAGGATGTCTCCCTGAGAGCTCCAAACGGTGCGGGGCTACACCAAAATCCCATAAACGTCTATGAGGAAATGTTTTAGGGAGTTTTGCCCATGAAACCCGTTACCAGATCTCATAATGATCCTGACTGAACTGGAACTCGCATGTGTTCAGTGCTGCACTGGGACAGAACCACAGACGGATGAGAGGAAACAGCATCTGTGATCTTCGTAAAAGCTCTAGGTTAGGGGAAACATCTCAGAGTTGGGTCATGACCTTCTACCTGTACTACGGAGCTGCTGATGTTCTTGTCCCTCCTCTCCAGCTGAACATCCTGGGACCAGTCCTCGTCCCCTTGTGCCCTCACACACAGCTCTGTCATCTCAACATCCTCCAGCACATAGGAAGGCAGCTTGGCTCCTGCCTCCAGGCAGTCACAGTGCTCTCTGACCACCGTCTGTCCATCAGGACCGACGTAGTGCTGCACAACTCGCAGCTCAATGTCCTGAGTCAGGTAGCTGCACATCACCTGCCGCCCACAGATGATCACCTGGAGGAGAAAGAAAGATGAGCATCTACGTTTAACATGCTTACCCGGCAGAATCCGCACATGTTCACCGTGCCAAGAATGTGATGTTTCCATTTCTATCTGAGTGCTGATGTCATGCATGTGTGGGCGTACGAATGCGTGCAAGAAAAGATATCATGTCCTAAAAAGGAAATCTGCCCATAAATCCTGTCTTAGGTCTATTTATGGGCAGTGATTCAATACTTTTTAGCAGCTTGCTGAACATAAACACCATGTGATTCATAAAAACAGCATTCAGCATATCATGAAACGACTACCAAGCCACAGAGCATGAGGGGAACTCAGACGGATGGAGGTCGGCTTCCTGTCTGAAACTGCTGGACCACTATGGGGCTCCCAGTTGTGAGCTGGGTGGAACCAGTGCTAACCAGTGTAAACAAAGTTTGGGACAGAAGGAGAGTGTGTTTTGTCTGGGAGATGAGAGGTAGACGTGTGCAACACTTGACTCGGCCATCAGTCCATGGCATCTCTGCTCTTTCAGGGACACACACATATGCTCTTGTCCTCAAACATGATTAATCCCGCACACACTTGGTTTATGATTTCCTGTGATCTTCTCTGTGGATTGATGGGACACATTTTAGTTCTACAAAACAGATGACAAAAACTGACAAAAACAGAAAACAGTCTGTTTGCCAAGCAACCACTAAATCATGAGATCCAAGCAGGGGGTGGGAGGGGAGTGGTTTAGCATCACTAATCCTGACAAAAGCTATTGAACAGAGGCCAAGCTTTGAGCACAACGCTGCAGAAACAGTTTTATCTCTACAGCCTTGCATCGGTTATCTGCAGGATGCTGAAATGCCTCTGCCCTGCAGAAGGAGAGCGGTTTGGTCTGAGTGTGGCTAAAGCTGCAGCGGGGAGTCCTTCCTGACTTTCTGTTAGCAAACTACAGCAGGCAGTTAAACAAAAGTCTCAGAAGGTAATCAGGTCCATTCACAGCTGAAGGTAGCCACAGCCACCGTAGTTCATCTGACTGATTTAGATTTAGATCTACTCTGACGTTGCACTACGAGTCCTCACAAACAGGTGCAACAACCTAACTATTAGTCTTCCTCCTTATTAATGTTTCCACAGCTGCAGCTACTGGTGTTGCTGCAGGGCAGACTGCAGGTTATTTGTTGAACCTGAGGAGAAAACTAAGTGAAAAGCTTGATTACCTGCTTCTGGACACCATTAAGTGGCTCCACTTTGATGATGAGTGATGCGGTGCGTCCTTTGTAGTGGATGGTCCTCAGCAGAGTCCCTAAGTTGTCCACGCTGAAGGGCTCGGACCAGCGCCAGTTCCCCCATCCCTCGATGCAGATGTGCAGCAGCTGCAGGACGGGCAGAAGATGGAGGATGCAAACGAGAACGCAGAGACAGAAGACAAGGTCAGGTCAGGCTTCTAGTGCATCAGCACACCCAACGACAGAGTACACACACTTTACACAATACCATACTAGAGTACACACACTTTACACAATACCATACTAGAGTACACACACTTTACACAACACCATACTAGAGTACACACACTTTACACAACACCATACTAGAGTACACACACTTTACACAACACCATACTAGATTACACACACTTTACACAACACCAAACTAGAGTACACATACTTTACACAACACCTTACTAGAGTACACACACTTTACACAATATCATACTAGAGTACACACACTTTACACAACACCATACTAGAGTACACACACTTTACACAACACCATACTAGAGTACACACACTTTACACAACACCATACTAGAGTACACATACTTTACACAACACCTTACTAGAGTACACACACTTTACACAATACCATACTAGAGTACACACACTTTACACAATACCATACTAGAGTACACACACTTTGAACAATACCATACTAGAGTACACACACTTTACACAACACCATACTAGAGTACACACACACTTTACACAATACCATACTAGAGTACACACACTTTACACAATACCATAATAGAGTACACACACTTTACACAACACCGTACTAGAGTACACACACTTTACACAACACCATACTAGAGTACACACACTTTACACAATACCATACTTGAGTACACACACTTTACGCAATACCATACTAGAGTAAACACACTTTACGCAATACCATAATAGAGTACACACACTTTACACAATACCATACTAGAGTACACACACTTTACACAACACCATACTAGAGTACACACACTTTACACAATACCATAATAGAGTACACACACTTTACACAATACCATACTAGAGTACACACACTTAACACAACACCATACTAGAGTACACACACTTTACACAACACCATACTAGAGTACACACACTTTACACAACACCATACAAGAGTACACACACTTTACACAACACTATACTAGAGTACACACACTTTACACAACACCATACTAGAGTACACACACTTTACACAACAGCATACTAGAGTACACACACTTTACACAACACCATACTAGAGTACACACACTTTACACAACACCATACTAGAGTACACACACTTTACACAACACCATACTAGAGTACACACACTTTACACAACACCATACTAGAGTACACACACTTTACACAACACCATACTAGAGTACACACACTTTACACAACACCATACTAGAGTACACACACTTTACCCAATACCATACTAGAGTACACACATTTTACAAAACACCATAGTAGAGTACACACACTTTACACAATACCATACTAGAGTACACACACTTTACACAATACTAGGGATGAAACAATACCACTTTTTTCCCAAACCGATACGATACCGATACTTGGATCTGAGTACTCGCCGATACCGATTATCGATACTTCTACCACACAAAAAAATGCAATGATTTGGAATCCAGATTTTATTTTCTTCTCTGCTTTCAACAGGAAAATACTGTGAGGTAGATAAAAAGTAAAATATATGAATAAAAATCATCATACAACTAAAATATTAGGTGAACAGAAATGACAAGTTACAGTCAATCCACTTTCAAGCAACTGCATTGGTATCGGTTCCTGGTATCGGTTAACTTTTACCGATACCGATATTGGAATCAGTATCTGTATCAGTGCATCCCTACACAATACCATACTAGAGTACACAGATTTTACACAACACCATACTAGAGTACACACTAGTAGCAGGTTTGGTTTTGAGATGTCAGTGTGCGTGTTTGTGTGTGTGTGCGTGCGTGCGTGCCTGTGTGTGTGTGCCTGCGAGTGTGAGTGTGTGTGCGTGCGTGTGTGTGTGTGAGTGCGTGCCTGTGTGTGTGTGTGTGCGTGTGTGCCTGTGTGTTTGTGCGTGTGTGTCTGCGAGTGTGTGTGTGCGTGTGTGCCTGCGAGTGTGTGTGTGAGTGCGTGCCTGTGTGTGTGTGTGTGTGCGTGCCTGCACATGTGTGTGTGTGTGTGTGTGTGTGTGTGTGTGTGTGGTTAGATGTGAAAGGCTCTTCCTCCACACATCTACATCAGAGGCCCTTAGTTTGGGTCAGAGTGTTTTCAGCTCCAGATCCATCACTTCTCTGAGGAGAACATCGATGTGTGTGGCTTGGTGTAAACACACAGCAATAAACAGATGCTGTCCTGTCTGATCACACCCAAACATCTCTAGAGTGGTGACGATTTTCCACCCGTTTACCATAAAACCTCTTGTATTGTGGGTCTCAAAGCAGCAAAAGGACCTAAACTTTGTGAAGTGGCATCTGCATGGGCTTCGAACCACTGTTTTAACTGCTGTCTCCATTACACAATACCCACAAGGCAACACGCCGACTAAGTTATGATAAAAGAATGAAGCGCTGCAGTCTCTCTTCTGCATGACCTCTTCACCTCAACCCACAAACAAAAGGCTAGTGGGCTGGTCTCTTGTCCATCACACCTGAGGTCATTCTCCGAGTATCTATCTACTTTTCATCACAGGTCGCTCACCACTACATGGTAAGGAATCCCATTTGTCAAACAATGTGTGTTTTCACAAGATTCTGGTACGAAAATGGCAGCAGAATCATAAATATGCAGGCTTTGTTTCCTCCTGAGGTCTTGTGGCTGACCTTTCACCTCAACGAACTCCTCATGTCAGCCCTACTGCCAAGACAATGTCAAACTTGGAGAGGGAGAGGTGAGACTCCCAGTAAGACAAAGAATTTCAAGAAAGAGCCCAAAGAAGAGAGCAGCGGCAGGAGGAGGGACTGATCCCATCATCTCCCAGGGGACCGAGGCACAGAGAGGCTGTTTGGAACATTTACACTTTGGGTCATTGCTTCAGTGTACAGAACACTCAGCCAATCTGTTGTAAGAAAAACAAATTACCCCCGAGGTCAAAGGGCACGTGGAGACCTTGGTCAAGACCTTCGGTGTTACTCCCCGCTGCAGCCGTTCCTCTCCGTTTGAAGGCAGATTTCTTTACAATAACATTGTTAATCAAAGCCTGTAGTCATTTTCCTCACTGTGCTGGCTGCATGGAAATGACTTTGGTTCCTCAGACGTCTTGCTCAGTGGACTTACTCACGGGAGAAGTGGCAGAGTGGTGTAAACACCCAGCTGGTGGAGGTTAAGGTTAAGCCTTAGGGTGGGGGACCACGAGATTCCCTAAGCCAGCACATGCAATGTAATGGAGACCAGTTAAGATCATAATGGCTTGAGGAAACTTAGAAAACAACTATAATGTGGGATTTTCTGTCTTTTTTTATTCCTGTCATCTGATTCTGATTCAAATTTAAATGCTGCTGTAAGTATACTAAGTTGGAACCAAACCAGTAATAATCTGGATTAAACTGATTTTCCTCAACACCATCTGAGAGGACAGATTTGTTATTTCAACACTTCTCTCCCTCTTTTACCTACCCCCTTCTCTCTCTCCACACACTTTATCGTGCCAGTGGCTCAACTTGACCTTTAAGGGAGAAGTCATAATAACCACTCTACTCAAACTTCAAACGGCCGCTGGTGCTTTTGTTTTAATTCATCTAACTCAGCTCTGACTCGAGCAGTGGAAAGAACCCAGCAGTGACACAGATGAACCGAACACGTAGGACAACAAGAATGAAAAATAAGAAGCTGTTTTGCCTCTTTGTGACGTGCGTAAAGGTTGTGACACTGAGAAAAGCCAGCCAGCCATATGTGGTCACTTTGTGCTCATGCTTTAGGCCTGGGCTTGCTCTAACAAGACTTTATTACAGCGATCTTTAGAGGAAAGAGGGCTGGAGACAGATACGTACTTCACTGGCCAAAGAGCCTTTAGTCTTTAAAGTTGGACTGTAATTAAATGCAGGAGGGAAACACACCTGTAAATAAATAAACCTAACTAACAGGAACAGGTCACCCAACTGCCACTTGGTGCCAAAACATCAACCTTCAACTCAACATATCAAAAACACAGGCGCTCATAGTCGACGTCTCACGCCCATCTCATAAAACACACATCCTCATTTCCACCCAGCCCATCATTAACTCACTCAGATGGAAACAGATCTACAAAACAGCCAATAAAATATTATTCTTTCTCCGACAACTTCAACAACAGGCACAACATCCATACCACCACCATTCATCCTCATCCATAACAGTCTGGTATGATGATCTGGACTCCCATTCACACAAAAACTACAGCACATAGTAGACAAACCAAGGTCAGGGTTAGGGTTAACCCAAAATCAACCAGATTCAACAACTGCAGCAGCCATACGGTCACTTAACCATGTCTCCGTATGTCTGTTTAACTGGTGATTCTGGGTGTAGACACACAGATGTGAGCATGTCAGGCTGAAGAAACTAATTCCATTCATAAATTAATCTGATAAACAAAACAAGAGAAAAAAAATAGTCATTTATGGCTGATTTCATAAACTTTACCAACTATTTGATGTTCTTTCTCAATCTAAAGAAACCATCCCTGACAAAACAGGCTTTTGTTTTAACATTTGCTGCTAGTCCCATTCTAACCTCATCTGTTAATAAAGAGCAGCTGGCCTCGGGTAAAGCAGCTAAAAGCATATCTGTTACCACGTTTTTAACTTTGTTATTGAGTGTGAAATAAAAATGTCAATCTCTCATTTCCCTTTAATCCCAAGGGAGTGACTGATAACGGCTGAGCCACGTCTCCAAGCCTTGTCCTAGGCTACGGCTTTAGTATGGACAGCTCTGTCTAATCTAAGGGTTTAGGCTGACAAACAAACAAACATCATCTGTTCTTCTTCAGGGTTTGTATTTAGAACAAACACACTAGATGTGGTCCAGCCGATCAAGTGATGTAGAATAACACAGGTCCAGATTATCATGGACAACATTCATCCATGATGGCGGAGAAGGTCTGG